TGTTCTCCGGGCCCTTCTCCCTTGGGCGCCGGTGACTCGGGGGTGTCCCTCGTGCCCAGCTGGGGAGGGGGCCGCTTTGGAAAGGCCGTCGGGGGCCCCGAGAGAGAGGAACCCTTGAGCCCAGGGAGCAAAAAAAGGGGGGGCTCTTGGCACTGGCCTTCCGGGGCGGGGTAGGGGGGGAGTCCTCCGGCCGGCACCCTCGATCCCCCCCTCTAAGGCACCCCGGGGGGGGGAAGGGGGTCCCCTCTAGCTAGCCAGCTCCGGGCTGCGGGATGCAGTTTTTGCAGCTGCGTGAGAATGAGTGGCTGGGTTTCACCACTGGACGGCACTGCACTGTTTGGGTGCCCGCTCCAGACCCCACGTCTTCGGGGCTCGGTGGAATGGGATGGAGGGGGGGCATGGACGCCTCGGCGGCCCCGGCGGGCTGCTCTTTCCTTCCCCGACGCCTTCCCCCCCCCTCCCGGCACTCGGACCGCAAGGGAAGGCGCCTCGGGCTGCGGGAAGCCGGTCCGGAGTCTCTCCGTCTTTGCAAGAATTGATCTCAATGCAGGTTGAATTAAAAACTCTGCCAAGGGATAACTGGAAGGGGGGGCGTTGTGGGGGGAGAGAAGTGTCCATCAGTTGAGTGGAGACGGGGTCCCCGGGGAAGGCGAGGGCAGGCCTGGGAACTCGGTGGGACAACGTTAAAATCGTCTGAAGCCCTGCGGGACACCCACCGTGGGGAAACCACTTTAAGCTTTTTAAACCCGTGTGTGCTCTAAATGTCAGCATGGAACCTTTGGGGTTAAATCGGATCTCTTGCGCCAGCCTGGGCGTGTAAGGGGAAAGAGGACGAGGAGGAATAATAAGCGATGGAAATTGCGTGTTGACATGAAGGGGCACGAAGGGAGGAGGGAGTGGATGAAATCCTGGGTAGAAGGTTGGGGGGGGGCTTTTCGGCCACTCTGTGCTTTTACAAAGGACTGGCTTGCTCAACCCGGCACCCCCAGGAAGTGCTGATGGAGAACAGTGGTGTAGAATTTTCTGGGATTCAGATCTCATCCACCCTTCGGGTTTTCCTTCTGAACGTAGCTTTCAGTTGTTGGGAGAGAAATGGATTTTCCCAGGGACGGTATATTGCTTGCAAGCTCTGCCCACTCTGGGGCAAAGTGTGTGAAAATGACTGGGATTTGTATTAAGAGCAGTTAGCTTTACAAAAGACCTGGTCTTGGTTTGTTGATCTTGGGCAGTGCAGCAGGTCTGGA